CCCCAAAACCCCAAAACCCCAAAACCCCGTCTGTATATTTTAAAACTTGAATTTGATTCAATAAGAAAAGTAATAGAAAGTGCTTAAAGTATTATCTTATTATTTAATATTTTAATATGCAGCAAATTTAAGGTTTTCTTCAAAATACCTAAAGTAATCCTATACATATAACAATCCAATTCTAACTTGGTTCATTTAGACGACTTTAAAGCTCTCAAAGCTTCTTTTAGTAAGAAATATTTGAGTGAGCAATGTACCCCTAAGCAATTCTTGAAAAATATTCAATATAATGTCGAGGTTTCAAGTGAGTTATATAACGGTTATCAACATCTAACTTTATAGATCTCATCAAAATTGTCAAGACATGTTTCTATCATGAGAATATGAATTTTTGCCCAATAATAGTCTAAATCTAGGATCCGCAAATTATGAAAGTACTTGGAAACTCAATGTATCTGATGGTTTACAATAGACAAGGCAAACTAGTTTACCAAAGAAGTTTAAAATGTATGCATTACACAAACTCAATATCAAAATACAAAAATGTAACCCTTTACTTTATATAGATGATCTTGTGAGTTGGAACATATTCCATTAATATCTAGTCATAAAATTAGACCCAAGAGAAGGCGAAACTCACATACTCTAGGTAATCTTCTTAGAGAAGGATGCAGCTATTCTGAAGATTAAAGATTTTGCACCGAACGATACTTGTAAGTTACAAACCGATCAGAATAATATCAAGCTTAACATTAATAAATATCTATTAACTTCTTTCCTTCATATTATTTGGAACAAATTTTAACTTAGTGCTATATAGATCGATACCTTGGGGTGAATAATGAAGTCTTCTATTATGGTTCAGATAACAACATAAAGATGATTGACATTAAGAAGAATATCGGAAACGGTTAGATAATGGAAATTGAGATTGGGGAGCCAGGAATTGTCAACTATGATATTCCTTATCCCAATAGGCTATTATAATTCTTAGAGAATGGGTATTCTAAAGATGACTAATACATGTTATGTGCTATCGAAACAGAAGATAATCAATTTGATTTTACAAGGTTATATTTTTGGGAAAGAGATTTTAACAATCCTATACTAGAGTTTTACCAGTATAGAGAAGTCGTGCCTAGAGAACTTAGATAAGATCCAATAAAGACGTTCTCATTTGTCATTAAAGCAAATGAATTCTTGTACGGAGTATCTGTTAGGAAATCAGGTCAGGCTGATTTCTATTGGAATTACACAATGGTAAACTCCTCTACCTCAGATGGTAAGTATCTAAGAATTAATGTTTAACATTTTAGAACTCTTCGAGGAAACATAGACTAATTTTGACTCAATATTTTTAAAGCATTCTTATTCCAATATGATATATGAAGTGGATCTAAAGAATGATATTAGAGTCGGTACAGATGTAGCTGTTAACTATACTTTTATGGATAACTACTGGGATGGTAGAAAATACAGTTTGATAAGAGATCATGTGAAGTTGTTCACCTCCTTCACCCTTGCTAACACATCTTTGTTCGTCAGTTACCTAAATTTCGTGTCAGTTTACGATGTGATTTCAAAGCAGTTTAGACAGCATTTAGTATTCAAAGACCAATGTATGAAGCTCTTCAGAACTGAAAGAACTGACTATAACTCTAGTTAAGGAGGCTAGTTAAGCAATGGTATCATTGGTGTTCATCTATCTAGTGGAGTTGTCGCTTTGATTGAACCAAAAATGGATGAAATCACAGGAAATGATGACTGGCAACTAACTGGCCATGAAGCTAGAATAGATGGTCAAATTGAAACGATTGTATCCGATACCAGAGATTTCGCTTCACATTTCATTTTTGTTAATGATAATGGTAAAAAGAAGCTCTTTGGATTCAAAATCGACACTGTTACAGAAGTATCTAGCTAAGTTAACTTAAAAAATGAGCAATACTTGATAAAATTCATCTCTAGTAACGTATAAGAAGATTTTGGAATGTATGACACAAATAAAAGTGTTATCACTACTTTCATAAACACCATTTCCTACAATGATTCTTTCACAATTTATGAAGGTAGTACATTCAACCTACCTAATCCGTTTTATGTCTATGGCAAAATCCATACAGTTGTTAAATCAAAGGAAGAAAAGCACTTGTTCATTTTCGATGATTAGAATCTCTACATCTATGACATTGAGAAATCAGCGATCATTGATGTCAAAAAGGATTAAAACATTAAAAACCTCTAGCTTATTGATGACAAGTATATTTATGCTGTAATGAACAAAAGCAAGGAACTTGGAAGATAATCAGGTTTTTACTTTTAGAATTTGGACTAGTTGATTAGCAAAAGTGAGTAAGCACAGACTTTCAGACTTAAAAATGCGCTTGTAGGCTAACTGACTTTTCTCAGTTACTTCAGAAATGATGAGAGAATGGCTTACATGTCTGACTATGAGTCAATTAAGATCATTCCTGTCCTACACAGAAACACCATATCCTTCTTTGGAATCAGGAAAAAGGAAAACTACGTTCTCTTTAAGAAAAATCAGGATAAATTGATTGCACTTGACTATGATAATGTGCTTTCTACATATTCAATTGCTACTGGAAAAATCTTAATGAGGCACAAATTGGCTAATCCTGTAATTAAAAAATCTCAGAGGATTTGGGCTAGTGATCCTGCTGATATAACCTATAAGAATCCTTATTATTACCCAAGAACACTACTTTATGACTAAGACCCAGTCACAGATGTAAACGATGAGGAATACTTTGATGAGAGACTCAAGTGTGATCTTGAAAAATGTACAGCATACACTAAGATACTTTAGAAGAACTTCCACAAATTTTCAGTTATTGAAATTATGAGTGAGACAGAAGTTAAAATTCATTATGAGTTTATCCATGTAATCTTCTAATCTGAGCCCTTCTAGAGAATCTATATTTCAGATGACTTAGAATACATGATAGAAAGACTCTAAAATCAAAGAGTGTTCATGTATAGAGCTATCAAGTCAGCAACTGAAGGACAAATTAAGTGGGTTATCATTAGAAGGATCAAATAATTCCCCAAAGATATTTCAGATTTCTCCGGTTACAATTATCTCTTCTCACCCAATCTTTAGTACTATTTGGACTTTGATTTTAATGATGCTTGCTACTAAATCAAGAAGACAATCGATCAGACTATTTATAGAGAAATACCAAGGGGACTGCTCACCACTGATGACAAGTATCTCTTAGCCAGAAAGTTTATGTGGATAGATAACTTTAGAATAAGACTAGTCAACATTGAAGGTGTTGAGAAAGTTCTAGACATTCATGATAATATGAAGTAATTATCTTATGGAACAGTACCTATGCTTAACAATGATGACTTTATCAGAGCAGGATAAAACCCAAGTGAAGTAGGAAAGGGTCACTTCTTCTATGATTAAACAGAGCCAGATGTCAGCGCAATTGAGCAAAGACTTAGAATTAAGTTCCAGGATTACTTTAGGGCTTATTTCGTTGATAATAAGAAAACACCAGAGTAACTTTATGATGTGCTGTTCAAGGTCGATTATTCTTAAGAAAAACCCTTGGCAGATTTAAGTTTTAGTTACTTCCATTGGAAACTTGCTGAAACTCTTGCTGAATCTAAAAAGAAAATGAAGGTTAAATAGTTCAGTCACGATGAGATTAGATTACTAGTGTTAAATATCTTTCCCCTCGGAAACACAATTACTCATTTAGCAGTTAAAAACGTTGGAGCTATCAGAAAAATATATCAAATTGTTAGAAATTTAAATACTGAAGGTCGCAAATTCGAAATCCCTTTCATTAATAATTTCCTGAACTAAACCCCTTTACATCTGTGTATGATCGGCCAGAACTACAAATCTGCTGATCTTATTCTCTAAAACCTTATAGACACACCTCTTGACTCTCATATTAGAGGTATTTTAGATGTACTTCCAGATTTGATAAAGAACGATATTCCTTCATTGAAAGATTATCTTGATGGACGTTTTATTCAGACTGACTAGATTAAAGCTATCAGAAGAGGTGCCATTAACTATGCCTTCGGAAACGAAGAGTATGCCGTCAATTCCTGCGAACTATGGCCTGACAGACTTACTGTTGAGGATAAACTGTTCACAAAGAGTACCCTAGATGCTGAAATCAAACTGGAATTCTTAGATATCCCTTCAGTCCACAGTTACACGGGCAAAGTCGGAGAGGAGTTCTTCTAAGCAATGGCCAATAGCAAAAACATGGATTTGTTTGCTTGCAGAAGTGTCTAAGCTATCATCGACTACAAATGGCCTCTAGTTAGAGAATATACTATTAAGCTTCTTTTCGCTCCATTTATCTTCTATCATTGTGCCTGGATCACATACTCTAATGTGTTCAATGGATAAGTTGCCCAAGATACAGATGAGATCATCATAGCTGACAAAGTACTGAGTGCTATTCTCTATGTGTTTTCAATCTACTTCTTAGTAAATGAAGTCAGACAGATTTTGAACTAAGGCTTTACTTACATGATTTCTGTTTGGAATTATACGGACATATTACCACCTATCTTCATTATAACAGTGGTATCTTTACATCTCATAGTCTATTACAAATCTAAAGATGATGAGTCATACGATCCAAACAACTTCATTGAGACTATTCACAGTATTGCTTGTCTGCTTATGTGGGCTAAATTCCTTTACTTCTTGAGAATCTTTTACTCAACAGGATATCTCATCAGAATGCTATCAAACGTCGTGTGGGACATGAAGGTTTTCTTGCTTATTTTGTTCTTAGTCTATTTCGGTTTTGGAGAGGCTTTCCTCAGACTATCTGAAAACTCAGACCCTGAGGCCTCATTCATAAAGAACTATGCTTACTGCTGGGTCTACGCATTCCGTCTCTCCATGGGAGATACAGCTGCAGACACTTTCAACGATACTATTCAACCAATTACACTCTGGATCATCTGGTGTATCTGTCTTTTGCTTACCAATATTGTCATGCTAAACATGCTTATCGCTATCATTGGTGAATCCTTCGGAACAGTTAATAGCATGTAAAAGCAGGCTAACTACCAAGAGAGATCTAGAATCATTGCTGAAAACGATTTCTTGATCCCTAAGTACAGAAAGAGAGAAATGAGAGATGAGCTTAACTACTTGATTACTGCCATTGAAATAACTGAGTAGGAGGAAATTGACTCGACGAAGGTTGTTTAAGATCAATTTGTGGTCATTGAAGAGTCACTCAACAAAATTGTAAGCATTTCATATTCATTCACATATTAATAAATTCATATAGAAAACTGAAATCACAGAAAAGCACAATTCCCTTGAAGGCAAAGTTGACCAAATTGTTGCTAAGTACTATAAAAAGAAGTGAAGCCACTTATATATTTAAAATTTCTATTCAAATCTTAAAATTTTCAATAACACTTTGATATAACTTATGGGGTTTTGGGGTTTTGGGGTTTTGGGG